GCGGGACTCGATCCCGGGACTCCAGGATCATGACCTGAGCCGAAGGCAGTCGCTTAACTGACTGGGCCACCCAGGCGCCCCCAAGTGATATTTTTAAAAGTCCACCACTTTTTTTTTAAGATTTATTTGAGAGCGAGGGAGAGAGAGAGTGCACAGGGGGGAGGGGCAGAGGGAGATGGAGAGAATCTCAAGCAGACTCCCTGCTGAGCACGGAGCCCAATGTGAGGCTTGATCCCATGACTCAGATCATGACCTGTTCTGAAATCAAGAGTCAGACACTTAACTGACTGAGCCACCCAGGCGCCCCTCTACCACTAACTTTTGATGTCTCTCTAAATGCACTGGCTTCATCTTCTCTTAATTCTATATACCTTAAGAAAGAGTGGGGGAAGATCTATTTGTTATTTAGTTACAATTTATCCTTTTATGTTTTTTAAGATGTGGGGAAAATGGTGTTGTTTAGTGTGGAAAGTAAGGCAGGTGCAAAGATCCATATTCACTTCCAAATGACAGATAATTTAGGTTATGAATGCCATTTCTACATCACTTGTAGAATGATCACATACAGTAGTCACTTTGTTGTCCTGATTAATCAATTTGCAGTTGACCCTTGAACAACACAGGTTTTAACTGTGCAGGTCCATGGATTTTTTTTTATTAATACAGTACAGTACTATAAATCTATTTTTTCTTCCTTATGACTTTCTTAATAACATCTTTTCTCTAGCTCATTTAATTGTAAGAATACAGTATGCAATACATATTACATAAAAATATGTGTTGATTGACTGTTAATGTTACCAGTAAGGCTTCCAGTCAATAATAGACTATTAGTAGTTAAGTTTTTGGAGAGTTAAAAGTTATACATGAATTTTCAACTGCACAGGGGGACCCTAATCCATGTTGTTCAATGATCAACTGTACTCACTCATTAAAAAAATTTGTACCTTGGAATGCCTGGGTAGCTCAGTCGTTTAAAAAATTTGCACCACAAGTGATCAAGCCAATCACCTATGGTTGAGATTTTTCTACATACTTAAAAAACTTTTACTATTAGGCTGAACCAAGATGTCCAATATAATTTTTTGGATACATGATTTTTCAAACTTGCTTCTCAGTATGGATTTTCTGGTGCTTAATAGTTTGGGAGCTATTGTTGAAGGCTTCCCATGTTTAGTATATTCATAGAGTCTTTAGACTTTGTGAATTCTATGATGTGTGATGAAATTTTAATCATTTAAGTTTTCTCATTCCATTAAAAGGGTTTCTGTTTCATATGAATTCTCTGATGAACAGTGAGAGTAGATTTCTTGCTGAAAGCTTTTCTACAAATACTACATTCATAGGGTTTTTCTCCAGTGTGTATTCTATGATGTACAGTGAGGTGTGACTTCTTACTAAAGGCTTTTCCACACTCAGTGCATTCATACGGCTTCATCCCAGTATGGATTCTTTGATGAACAGTAAGTTGTGATTTCTGGATAAAAGCTTTTCTGCATTCACTGCATTCATAGGGTTTCTCCCCAGTATGAATTCTCTGATGTTCAATGAACTGTGAGCTCCGGATAAAGGCTTTCCCACAATCACAGCATTGATACCTTTTGTCCCCAGTGTGAGTTCTCTGATGTACAATGAGATCTGACTTTTTAATGAAGGCTTTTTTACATTCACTACACTGAAAGGGTTTCTCTCCAGTGTGAATTCTGTGATGTACGCTTAGTTCTGACTTCCTGTTGAAGGCTTTGCCACACTCTTTACATCCATGGGGTTTCTCCCCAGTATGAACTCTCTGATGTACAACGAGCTGTGACTGCCAGATGAAGGCTTTTCCACAGTCACTGCATTCATATGGTTTCTCCCCAGTATGAGCTCTATGATGAATACTAAGTGTTGACTTCTTGATGAAAGCTTTCCCACATTCATTGCATTCATAGGGTTTTTCCCCTGTGTGAATCCTCTGATGAATAATGAGGTTTGACTTCTGGATGAATGCTTTCCCACACTCACCACATTTATAGGGTTTCTCTCCTGTATGAATTCTCTGATGTACAGTGAGTTGTGACTTCTGAATAAAGGCTTTTTCACATTCATTACATTTGTATGGTTTCTCCCCAGTATGAATTCTCTGATGTGCAATGAGTCCTGACTTTCCACTGAAGGCCTTCCCACACTGAATACATTTATATGATTTCTCACTGGTTAGAATTTTTGGTTGTACAAAGAGGTGTGACTTCTGCATGAAGGCTCCGATGTGTTCATTAGATGTTCTGTTTAGATGAATCCCTTTCCCCAGTACATTGTTACATTCATGATCTATCTCCTCAGTTAGTGGCTTATTGCTAATGAATGCAACTTGATTCAAAAGCTTGTCTTGGTTTTCCTGGTGATTTATCTCATCTTCAAGTCTCCAGTCTTCAAAAGTTGAGTATACAATCATGTTATGAAGTATCACTTGTTCAGAAATGCTCTTCCATGGTGTTAATTCTTTCATCTTGGGTCTAATACAAAAGTCTGAAAAAAGCCCAAGTGTAAATGATGTTACTTCACTCTTGAGCTCTGAAGAATACAAAACAAAACACAAAAATAAAAAACAAATAAAGCTCTTCATTTTAATAGAAACAGATAGAAATCTGCTAATGAGTGCAATCAGTTTTGAAATGTAAGAATATGACCTTAAAACTCAAAGACAGAAGAAGAAACAGACCTCAAAGAAAAAGAAGTGAGTAAGGGAGCAATGGAAAAAGAAGAGTTGATGAACTCAGTGTCAAAGTTCCACAAGGCACTAGCGCCAATCCACCACAAGGCTCTGTGAAGAGCAGAAGCAGATCAAAAAATCATTTCAGGAAAGACAGAGGAAGGATGCGAGCAAAGGAGACTGAAGGTGAGTTGAAGTGACCAGCAGAAAGATTAAATCCACACTAAATATAACAATATTCATAAATATTTTATAAGTAACCAGGTAGAAGCACAACTACAGGGTAGGGCTTTCCAAGTATATTCATCTTAAAGAGTCAGATGACACAAAAAGCATGGGATGGGACAGGCTCTATTAAAAGGGGGAAACTCTGAGTTTGAAGAATAGGCAGTTTCAGAGAGAGGAAAAAAAGGCAAAAAAGGAAGGAAGAAATACCTGCTCATAATTGGGTGGTGTTAATGGGGAAAGAAAACAAGGGAAATTCAGGGTCCTGGAAGACAAAGAGAACCACAAAACCAGAAAAGCCGAAACTCCTCTTCAATCCAAAAGAAAGGAAGGAGGGAAAGGCCCTGCTATATTAACAGAGAAGGACTCCATAATATTTAAAAATCTTATGAAAATACTGTAATGTAATAAAAATGAACAAAGAAATATATGGTCCATAGAGAACTACTACAGAAAATCAGGAAATGAATTTGTGCAGATATCAACAGAGGAAATTGTCCCTTGTCAAACCAAAACCAAAAAGAAAACTAGCCATAAAGCAAAATAAAATTTTGTCTGAACTCTAAACAGAATTAAATATACTCAAACAAGCATTTCAGGTCATGGAAAACCACCATGAATCAGAACTTATTTAAAAAAGAAAAAAACAAATAAACAAAAAATGGAGTGATGAAAAAGAATTGGTTAAACTTTGGGGGGGGAATGAAAGATTAAATTATGAGGTGTGGGCAGGGGGTAAGGAGAATTTCTTTTTTTTTTTATTAATTTTTTATTGTTATGTTAATCACCATACATTACATCATTAATTTTTGATGTAGTGTTCCGTGATTCACTGTTTGTGCATAACACCCAGTGCTCCATGCAGAATGTGCCCTCTTTAATACCCATCACCATGCTGACCCATCCTCCCACCCCCCTCCCCTCTAGAACCCTCAGTTTGTTTTTCAGAGTCCATCGTCTCTCATGGTTCATCTCCCCCTCCGATTTCCCCCCTTCATTCTTCCCCTCCTGCTATCTTCTTCTTCTTTTTTTTCTTAACATATATTGCATTATTTGTTTCAGAGGTACAGGTCTGTGATTCAACAGTCTTGCACAATTCACAGCACTCACCATAGCACATACCCTCCCCAGTGTCTATCACCCAGCCACCCCATCCCTCCCCCCCCCCCCCCCACTCCAGCAACCCTCAGTTTGTTTCCTGAGATTAAGAGTTCCTCATATCAGTGAGGTCATATGATACATGTCTTTCTCTGATTGACTTATTTTGCTCAGCAAAATACCCTCCAGTTCCATCCACATCGTTGCAAATGGCAAGATCTCATTCCTTTTGATGGCTGCATAATATTCCATTGTATATATATAGGGGGTAAGGAGAATTTAATAAGCAGCACTGAAAAAGGCAGGAAAACAGCCAACATAATAAAAATAACATAAAAAATCCAGTAAAAATGGTCACAGAGAAAGGAGAAAAAGAAGAAGGCAAAGTAATATTTATATTACTGGAGTATCTGAAAAATTTAAAAACACAAAGCATAAGATTATAACTCTAAGACATATCACACTGAAAGAAGGTGAGAAAAACAAGGTAATTATAAAGGATATGAATATCATTCAATAAGTTACTTTGATAGAGGGCATATCTAAGACTGGGTAAATGCATAAAGGGAGGAATATAAGCCCATTCTGGAAGAATAGGGTGCTGAAGATGTTAGCCAAAGAGAGGTTAACTAAGAAATGTCCTAAATGACATGGGCATAAATAAGATCCAAAGTACAGGTAAGGGGGTTACTTCTCTCTCTCTAAAAGTTAAGCAAAGAAAATGGATTGCATGGTTGTTAGATATGTAGCAGTGTTATTTAGGTATTTGACAATCCCACGCCAACTGTCTTCAGCCATTTCTAGACATCTATGACCTTAAAGAATGATTTCCTAAAAAATATTTCAAAGATAAATGTCTCATTAATCAGGATTAATCTTACATCCCTGTCTCCCATATGCCAGGTTCTCACTTACCTGAGTAGGCCCAACTTGAGATTTCTTCCTCCTTCATCCATGGTTCTCCTCGCTTCAATGAGATTACATCTGACTTCAGAGACTGACATCCTGTTTATGGGAAATGATACAGGACTTGGCCATTAGTGGACATCCAACCATCCTAGAACTCAAGCCCACCACATATGCACCAGAATAGCTAAAATTAAAAAGACTAACATTATCAGATGTTGATGGAACTCTTATATTGCTAGTAGGAAATAAATTGGTATAACCTCTATGGACAACTGTCTGGTAGTATCTACTAAAGCTAAATATACATGTGCTCCATGACCCAGAAATTTCCCAACAGAAATAAAATACTTATTTCCACTAGAACATGCATATAAGAATGTCCATAGAAAAAGTAAAAAAAGACAAAGACAAAAACACAGAACAAGAAGATTAAAAAAAAAAAAAAAGAAAGTCCAAAACAGCTTTATTCAATGACCCAAGTCTGAAATAAGCCAAATAACTATCAACAGAATGGATAAGTTGATGAATTACCCTATACTCGTTAAATGGAATATGGTGCAACAGTAAGAACAAATATTGTCATGTGCAACAACATGGATGAATTCCACAGACACTATGTTAAATGAAAGATGCCAGACAATTACAGTGATTACACTTACATGAAGTTCAAGAACAGACAAAACTAATCTATGGTGATAGAAGCGACAAGTTGTTATCTCTGAGGAGATAAATGGCAAGGGGTCAAAGGGAGCCTGCTAGGGTGCCTGAAATGTTTTACACCTTGATCTGGGCAGTGGTTAAATAACATAGGAAAAAGATGCATCAATCTGTATATTTAAGATTTGAGCACTTTACTACATATGTTCTATTTCAATTAATCTATAAAAACTAAGAACTTGGGCACAGCCCATTGTCTTTAACCCTCAAAGAATGAGCAGGATGCAGCACCCATTCTCTTTTCATCCAAGTCCACTGGTGTATTTGGTACTCAAAATCAATATTCTTTTGACCTTTATAGTTTGAAATGAAGCTCATTAAACATGCAGAGACCCAGCAGCTTTTAGTAAATAAGAAAGAAAGGCAGTCAATTGGGTACTATGGTGGATTTAATATATGTTCATAAATTCCTTGGCACTCCTCCCTTCAAGAAGTCCTCTCCTTCCCTTAAGCATGGGCTGGACTTGGTAACTATTTCTAATAAACACAGTAAGGTAGAGGTGATGGTCTGTGATTTCAGAGACCCGGTCACAAAAGGCCCTGTGACTTCCTCCTGGCTCTCCCGGATCACTCTCCGCGGAAGTTTGTCATGTCGTGAGAACAGGCCCCCATGGTGAGGAAGGAGCTGAAGGCTCCTGTCAACAGCCATGTGAGTTATCTTAGAAACAGATCCTACACTCTCCGTCAAGCCTTCAGATGACTGCAGCCCCTGCTCACATCTGATTCCAGCCACACGGGAGACCACAAGCCAGAACCACCCAGCTAAGCCCTTCCAAACTAAACTGTTTGTTTTAAGCCACTAAATGTTGAAGTAATTGTTATGCAGCAGCAGATAACTAATACCCAGTACCCTCTGAGAGATGTTCTTACCCACTGAAACAAGGTTGCTATAGTTCTCCAGCATCACATCCCTGTACAAGTTTCTTTGAGCAGAGTCCAGGTACTGCCACTCCTCCCAAGTGAAGTCCACAGTCACATCCTTGAGTGACACAAATCCCTGTAACAGGACATTCCTGTTCAATCTAAAGTGAAAAACACTGGGTGATGTGTAAAAAATGTTTAATCATGCAGAGTTCATCATATTAAAGAAGATGTTTACTATGAGGCCAGTTTTACTATGTGGGAGAAGTAGAACTCCTATTAGAAAAACTCTGCTATTGAGAAACCATTCATCCTCTCTTTCCAGCAATAAGCACGTATTAGGCCACAACACAACCTGCACTATTTGATGGTCAGAATACAAACATGAAGAAAACACTGGAAGTTTACAGAATAGTAGATGGAGACAAACAAGTAAATATATAAATGCTATTGGGTGTTAAATGGGTTATAATAGAAATGGGAAAGAAGAAATGATTCTATTTGGGGAAGTTGAGATGGGTTTTGTAGGAGATACACAGTTATGCAAAATGAATAATGAAAAATGTAAAATTTTTTTAAGTAAAGATAAAATACTTTTTTTGAAGTGTTAAAAATGAATAGTGTAGGGCGCCTGGGTGGCTCAGCTGGTTAGGCAACTGCCTTCGGCTCAGGTCATGATCCTGGAGTCCTGGGATCAAGTCCCACATCAGGCTCCCTGCTCAGCAGGGGGTCTGCTTCTCCCTCTGACCC